GCACTAACTGTAGCTTCTGGATCAAGTGTAAGGGAAGTCCCACATAGAGCGGTAATCCAGTTCCAAATAACCAACATATGAACTACTATTATGGGATATGCACTCATTGGAAATGAAGCAGAGCCCCAAACCTTTTGAATGTGTATTGAAAGGATGATCACACGTGACAGCTCTGATAGAATCATGAGCACAAATCATCATGAACGTTCAATAAAAAGGACATCCCAAGGGGACCCAAGACAATCAGAACCTTCTGGTCAGACTCTGTTATGTGGCAAGTATAGGCACTAGGTCTCTTTCCTCCCAGTTCAATGCAGTTCTTCTTTAATATAAGGGACAAAGGTTATATCAGGAACTTTATGCTGTCTTTTTCATTACTTGTGTCTCTGTGATTTCCTTCTAATGCTAAGCCTCAAATGTATATAGCTTTTCACCGCCAATTCTCTCTGCCTTTGGGGAAAAAAAGTTAAAACAAAACAAAAACAAAATAAAAGTGAAAGACTTTTCATCATTCATTAACCAGAGTAGGAAGTGTCAAGAAACAAAGTTCTTGCAATCCGTAACATGGAGTGAACTTGTTTTTACAGAGTGAGGTGATACCCATTTGAGACATGTCTGTTCTGCCCCTGCATAATCAGAATATAAACTGCAGCTCTCCCCAGTAGCAGAGCCAAAATCTGATAAACTGATTGGGCAGAGAGCAAATCCGTCTGGGCAGCACTAGAAAAGATTTTAAGCAGATGTACTTTCCTATCAATGCTTGCATGAAAAGCAGTTAAAAAAAAAAGGCACTACTCGCTCTTTTTCAGCCTCTCTCTACTGTTAAGTGTAAATACGCTTGCTTTCGATATGGTGATTATTGCAGAGCCATTTCCTCTTAGCACCTGCTTATTTTAGCACCAAAGATGCTGGCCGCATATTCACTTCAAGTGGTTTTTAACTCACTCCAGCAGCCTCGGTTAAGGAGAAATGGGACTTACTCAAGAAATGGGGCTTGCTCTTTGTTAGAAACATTGTTGGAAATTTAATTCCCCGCCCCATTCATTTCACTCATATTTAGGTAAATCTAAATAGACACAGATTTTTACACTTCTCGGCGCATCATAGTCCTATGTAACATTTAGCTCATAACGAGAATGAAACGTCCATTTGCATAAAAGGCATTTTGTTTCCCCGCATATGGTATAACATTAGCAGCCAGCATATGTCTCTATCATTATCAACAAAGCAGTTACATTTACAGAACAAACACTGAATAAAGAATACTTATTTTCAATATGTCACTTCTTTCCAGCATGAATAAAAAATATCTAAAATGGATGCTTAAGGACAGATTCCTAATGAGCAACCAATAGGAGAGGCTAGCAGTGCAATCCTAACCATGTCCCCTCAAAGATAAGCAATACTGAGCACAAACCTACCATTAGGCTGAGTGATACAACCACTTCAGGCGGCAGGTGCGGGCGGGCAGAGAGCAGCAAATGACAGAACTACGGTATATGTGCGCCATGCTCTCCCTTTTCCCTTCCAAAACAAACCTGGCCTTCAGGTGCAGCAGAGGACACTGTCCCATTGCAAGTGATGAAGTAAGATTCACCTGCCAATATACTGTATTTTTCCATGTATAACACGCCCCATATATTTTTTTTGGACCACAACAAAAAGGGGGGGGGTTGCCCAGAGTTGTTGAGCTTCTTTTGGGGGAAAATTGCAGATTTGTTGAGCTTTTTTGGGGGGCACGGCCAATCAGTCTACAGCCTGCCCAATAATGCAAATCGCACACATCACCACAGCCACCAATCGTCTGCATTCTCACCTCCAAAAGCACACTCATCGCAATCACAGACGATTGCACGCACGCCTCACCACGGCCATAAATAGCCCGCCCAATTGCCGCAGCCAATCGTCAGCAGGCATTTCTGCAGCAACCAATCACACGCCCTATCGCCACTGCCAATCTCCTGCTGGCTGCTGCCACCAATCCCCCCCCCCCGCTATCCATGTATAAGAAGACCCGCTATTTTTGAATATTATTTTTAAGGAAACAATATCTTCTTATACACAGAAAAATACGGTGATCAACTTTTTTATATGGAATGGGCAAGGAGCCATCTTGTCCTTTGCCTTGGGCAGCAAAAAGCCTTGGGCTGGCCCTGGGTTTATGATTGCAGCTCTGAACCCAGTTCTAAATTTATGCATATACATGTCCCATTAAAGTCTCAGTAGGATTTCCATGTAATTATATTTCTGATAGGGGAATTCACCCAAAGAATGCAGTGGCTACTATTGCTGGTTGATTTGATTTATTACTGCATGGTTTTTTTAAAAGAGTGAGTGGTTTACATAACCTAAATTGGAAAAATATATAAAATCACGTGGGGTTGTGTTCGACTAAGTCATTTTCAGAGTAGACCCATTTAAATTAAAGAACCTAAGTTAGTCATGTCAATTAACTTCAGTGGGTTTACTCTGACTGAAACCCAGATACATGCCACAAAAGAAAATGGTGTTTGGGGAAGAGAAACATCTCTAGCTGGGCTTCTACCAATATAAAAATTAGTATGACAGTACTACCCCTTCCTCCCCTCCTGCACCCCTCCCCCAAATCTGCTCTGGAGAGAGAAGATTTTGGTGGCATAGGCATCCTGCAGGGGAGGGGGAAATCCATTCTATCCATGGCATCCAGTCTGGCAGGCAAGACACTGTTTGATTTCCCCCACAGCATTTGCATCTATCGAAATTTTGGGCAATTTCCATTAAGGTGTGTACATGAAAAAGAAAAAAGCTACAAAATGGTAATTCTCTGAATAGGAGCATCACATTCTTCTCCATGGCTTACCCAAGACATTTTGCAAAGCTGAAAATGGTTCCCTCTCTCCATCAGTCAAATTGCATAGTAACTAAAGAGTCCCACAAGCACCTCTTTCCTATCCATGACTGTCAAATACAGTAACAATAATAAGAAATTAGATAGCTAACCTTTTGAAGCCTTTTTGTGACACCAGACATCTGGCCCTGTGCAGCTCACAGAAGTCCTCTTGAAAAATCCTTGATATGAGATCAAATGGTGGGGTGGGTGGGTTCATATATCTATCCAGGAATAATTTCAAAACCAGACCTACTGGGGAAACTCATCCTTTACGGCCATTTCACATCTATCTCCTCAAGCATGGGAAAGTGTCGCTTGTATTGTCGTTGCTTACCATTGCAAATGTGAATAAGGTTTTTGGTATTTCCATGAAAATATGTGCATTTGCTACAATAAACTAGCTATACATCATTTCCAAGCTGGAGAAAGCCTGTTAAAATGGCAGTGGCTACCATCCTACATACACCTATGGAGGAGCACACCACACTGAACACAATAGGACTTGCTTCCCAGTAAGCATGTGCTCTACCCAATTGCTAAATATTCAGTCAACATTTGCTTACTGACCCAAAGAACCCAAGAACTAAAGGAATCACTCAGAATTACGTGTTGTCAACAACAGAAAACCAGCTATCATCCAGTAATTGTATAATACAGTAGTGCATTTTATTTGCATTCCAGGTCTGTGGGGCAATTCAGATGCACGATGATTTATAGTGCAATTTTTCATGTTTTTCCAATGCTATTTTATCATTACTGGATCTTCAGCAATTACTTTATTATATGAAATGTATCCTTAGAGTTATTTAGTCAAGGTCTATGTCCTAATAAGGGACGCGGGTGGCGCTGTGGGTTAAACCACAGAGCCTAGGACTTGCCAATCAGAAGGTTGGTGGTTCGAATCCCTGCAACGGGGTGAGCTCCCGTTGCTCGGTCCCTGCTCCTGCCAACCTAGCAGTTCGAAAGCCCCCCCAAAAGTGCAAGTAGATAAATAGGTACCGCTCTGGCGGGAAGGTAAACGGCGTTTCCGTGCGCTGCTCTGGTTCACCAGAAGCGGCTTAGTCATGCTGGCCGCATGACCCGGAAGCTGTACGCCGGCTCCCTTGGCCAATAAAGCCAGATGAGCGCCGCAACCCCAGAATTGGCCACGACTGGACCTAATGGTCAGGGGTCCCTTTAGCTTTACCTATGTCCTAATATCCATTTATGGAAGTGATTAAATATAAGCAATGTCAAAACTAGACACTCAACATTGAAGATAGCTGTATAACATGATAATGGCTGCTGTATCTTTATGAGACACTTGCAAAATAGTTTTGTTTTGTTTTTTAAGAAGAAATCAGTTTACCCCCTTCTAATATTGCCTGAGATACTTTTTGAAGAAAATTGATTTACATAATGTTACAGTTAAGAGAAACTGAGATTTTCATAATCCACAGTTGGGAATCATCTTTATTACGGCAAGCCTAAATGTTTCAAAGTCATGTGCACACTTTTGAGTTCTTCAGAACTCTCTGAATGAAACGGTATGCAAATAGGGGGGGAAGAAGGAGGGGAAATAAATAAAGTGTTTTTAAAAAATAAAATACTCTTGTTCTTGTAGCTTTGATGGCTGCATTAAGCCCGAAGATGGAGATCGCAGTCTGAATTACAGAGCCATCAATGTGTACCTTCTCAAAAGTCAGTTTCACAAAGTCCAATGGACCTTACTCACAGAAAGGATACACTGCAATGGCTAACCTGTGTCCCGGCCAAGTTGTTTTTTGTTTTGTTTGTATTGAGGGGGACGGGACATCTAATTGTCCTTGCCAGCTTGGAAAGTTTTTGTAAAGCAAGCAGAGCCGCTTACATGCTCTGCGCAGCTCTCGCTTTGGAATGTGGAATGAATGCTGTTGCAACATTTCACATGTTGAGAAGCCTGCATGCTCATATTGGAATTGGAATTCATTCTGAATCTGAAAGGCAATAGTAACAACAGAGGAGAAATGGAGCCTACTAGTTCTGGCCATAATAATATCACCATGCCTCTTCAGTTAAGTATGGTGTGTATGTGGACTCAATAAATTGTCTCAACTGCTATGTGCCATACCCTAGCATGGCCTTTGCTCCTCCTTGCTTTCATTAGTCCTTAGGTGGTGCAGTGGATTAGTGTGTCTTGTTGTTAATCAGAAGGCTGGTGGTTCAAGCCCGCCCAGAGTCCCTTCCAACTCTACAGTTCTATGATTCTATGATCTGACTATAGGCATAAACAGGCCTCCACAGGAACAGGAGTAGAAGCGGCTCTGCTGTGAATATGGTGGATGAATGTCTGTGTTATTTTGGATGAAAACCAACATTGCTGAATTACATTAACACTCAGACCTGCCAGTTCTGCTGTTTTACACGTGTTCCACCTCCCTGCCATATATTGTTCCCATCCAGAGGACATCATTAATTTGGCAGTGTATGAATGATGACTGTTCACTTTACATGATTGAAATATGATTCTGATATACCGGTTGTTTATTAAATAGTTTAGTACAACATTTGATTCATTGTTTTCCTCCTCTAGGTGTGTCTTATGGTCGGAGGTAAATCCACATGGGGCTTTTATGTGACACCACCACCAATGAACAATTCAGAGAGGAACATCTGAGGTGTTAAAACAGAAGCCTCTGAGACCTTGAGTATACCGTAATATTTATTTTTCTGTACTTTCACAGGGATATTTGTTAACATCTCCGGATAACTGTACAAAACTTATAGGATATTGTAGGTAATTCTTTGGATATAGAGTTGAAGAAGTACTATCACAGTATTATGTAAACAACTCTGTTTCAAGAGAAGGAAAATGTTTGTACTAGCTATTGTTCTCACAAGGAAGATTTCAGATTCTGGAGAGGGAGAAAACCCACCACTAGTTACTACCCTTCTTCTTCTTCATTATTTTTCCCCTTCTCATAATTCTAGAACTCATCTCATCAAACAGAAAGTTTGAAGATTCAGGATAAAGGTAATTACTTCTCTACACAGAGCATAGCTAAATTAGGGAATTTGCTCCAAGAAGATAACAACCAACCTGGATGTATTTTTTAAAAGATTAGACAGATTTATGGGGATAAGGCTATCAGAGGCTACTAGCTATGATGTTCTGTTATACCTCACTATGCCTATGCATATCAGCTGTTGGAAATCACAAGTGAGTATTATTTTTATTTATTAAATTTCTATACTGCCATCCACCCAAAGATCACAGGGCAGTTTACAATATAAAAACAAAAATAAGATAGTAACAAACAAACAAAATACTCCCCTACACACACACACACACACACACACACACACGGTAGAGTGCTGTTGCACTCAAGTCCTGCTTACAGGATTTCTATAGACATCTTATTAGCCACTGCAACAGGATGCTGAACTAACTGTTAGCTTGACCCATCTGGGCTCTTCTTATTTTCTGTTCATTCCAAGACTAATTCATCGGGTAAAAAAAATTAATCTTATCACTATATCAGCACACTGGGACAAACTTCACCTGATGGAAGTTTGATTTTCTCAAGCTGCCATTAAAGGAATAGGAAACCTGCTAGAAAACAAGGACACTACAAAAGCCATCGGAATCTGGAATCAAATTTATCTTGCCTTCAAGGGGCATGAGAAAGCTTAGGGGAGCCTCTCCTTTTTTGTATCCAAAGAATATTCCAGCCTGAGTATTTGTCCTCTCTGTTTAGATGGTTAAAATGCTAATTCCCAGCTGCCGGCAGTGTGAAGATCTGTCCAAACAAAACACTCCAGGTGATGCAAGTCTAAAGTTTTCACACCAAGCACTGTTCTTTATCCAGGGAAGAAGGAGCCGCCTGCAACCAGAGTGACATTGACAAACTTCAGAGTACACAAAAGGGCTCCTTTGCAAGCAACACCAAGCAATTTCAGAAGGAAAGCCAACAGTCTGAACCAGCAGCTCTCTGCTTCACCCTGTTTTTCGTACATTCTGTCTGGGGGGGGGGGAACCCTTCTGGATAACAACACAGCCACAGTAATCCTGTCATTAGCAGCCACAGAACTGTCACATCAGTAACTCTCAAGTGGGTGTCAGCTACAGCCCTTTACTTCAGCTGCTTGCTTCATTGGGGAGAGTTTTCTTTGACTGCCAGCATAGGGACCATGTACATTTGTCTGTCATTAATACATACAAGCTCTCCAGAGCACACATAAACAAAACAGTCATGTACACTTTGCTAAATGGGCTGCATTTCTATTTTCTATTTTCTTTTTGTAGCCAGCCCAAACGAAGCCTACGTGAAAAGCCCTGCATACAAAGCAGTGTGGGATAACTTGCTTGTTATCTGTCATGTACGATAGAGCAATTGCCACTCACTTCACTTACCCTATTCCAACACTGGGAAGTAGATTATTTTTAGACATGCTTTGTACACAACCTAGCATTCAAACTGGGGACAACCTACACCCCAGTCTCCTGTGGATTATGATGAACATTTTTTAATATAATGGGGAAAGTCCTTCCTTCTTACAATATCATCTTTTGTGTCAATATTAGTGCAAAACAAGCAGAACTTGACTGTTCAGCATCACCAAGTGCTTTTTTATTCTCCACTGCAAAAACATTTTCAGTTGTGACACTTTTTTGATCGCTAGAAAGGACAAAAATGATCCACTGTGAGGTCTCTCACACACCTTGCACTGAGTTTTCTTTTTTATCAGTCATTGTTTCTCCATGACAGTAGGATGTGTCCCATATCACATTATTTACCCGTTTCCCCATGAAAATTCTCACTGGAACAAAAAAACTATGTAAGTGTACATATGCAATATTATAACTGAAATCTGAAAAATAAATGATTGTTTATCTGACAGGAAACAGGATAAATGACAACTCTAGATGAAAGAATTTATAAATATAATGTCTTAAGAAACAGAAGAGCAAGCCAAATGATTTATATTACATATGTCCCCATGAATCAGAGATTTTGAAAGCATCCAAAGTGAACTTCTGCAAACAAAACATAAGCCTCTTAATGGGTTTATTCTACAGAAAATGTTGTTTTCTTCACTGGAATGCTGAGTGACATCTATAGCAATCCCATTTTCTCATCAACCCTGCTTGGCTTCTGCAGTTTCTTTTTGAAACGTTTAGGCTGCAATCAGGCACACCTCAAGGCTGCTTAAATGCCATCAGCTTCAATAGGATTTAGGAAGGTTGTATACCAGATTTGCAATGCTAAAAGAACTGAAACCTAATCCTCACATCTGCACACACACTAGTGCTCCCAAGCCTCTCTGTCCAAAGCGACTGCCCACATCATCTGAGAAGACAACCTCAAAATGTCAGTAGTAAAAACACAAAGTCCATATGTACATCTGTACACACCCTTGCACACACCAAAATAGACTATAGGATATTGCAGCCAACTGGGGGTTTTAACAGACCTACAACCAAGGGACTGTCTCCAGCTCTATAAGAGAATCTTTTGCGCATGCCCTATTTTAGCCCAAGCAGGGCTGAGGAGATGGCCTGCTGCTCCAGCTGTCAGTTGGTAAAAGCCGGTGCCCTTTTACATTGTGCAGAATTTTAAGCAGCAGTCATCCTTGGAATCAGATGCAGGGAAAAGGCTACATCAGGTGGTTCCTGGGGCAACTCTCCCATGAGAGCCTCTGGAAAGGCTTTCTGCAGACATGGTTCCTACCCTAGTCTTCCCCATTATCCAGGCCATCAGAGTCCAAAACCAGGTACATGGCATTTTTCAACAGCAGCCATATACCTATGGAGGCAATCCTGTGATCTTATCATTGGTGTATGGCAAATAGTACTTGTTGTAGAGTTTGTATTTGACCTAAAGGCTTATTTACACACTAGAGGAGGGCCACTTTTGACAAGCTTGAAAAATAAAATAAAGTCACAAAACCCCAATCTCTATACATCTGTTGTGACTTCTTTCTTTAAGGCTATTTCCCTCCACCATCTTAAATAAAATCTGTTGAACCTGCAATAGAGGCTGCAAAGGTTTGTGTTGTGGTGGGACAACAACTTCTACCCACACAGACAAGTGATTTCAAGTTGTTGCAGGGTCAATATTCTGGGTCACTCACAGGTCACTTGTGTTTGCATATAACTCTTGCACGTTACTCACTCCTGTATAGCAAAACTAAAAATCCACTATGGTTTACATGATTTGTTATTCCCAGATGACAGAGAGGTGATCCTGCCATGGACAATTGACTGTCTTCACCTTCTGATTCACACTATGAAAATGTAAAGAAATCAGAGGCTGAAATTAGTCAATTTGTTGATTCCCAGGATAATCACTGGGCAACAATTTTTTACTTTTTGAATGTTGTCTAGATTTCTACAATTGATTTAGGGTATTTTTGCATTGCTGAATCAGGAAATGGCATCCGTTTCTCTCCATCAGGTCAGGTTTTTGTGCTATGTTGATTTGAAAAAAATCAGATCTTGTGACAAAATCGATTACATTTTTGTGGCATTATCAGCTGATTTTTGTCAACACATATCATCCTAAATATGTTTTTAAGAGAAAAAAATGTTTTTCCAACAACATATATTGATTACCTGATAGAAACATTGATTACTGTAAACTGAATGGTGGGCATTGATAAAGGTAAGTACACGTAAATTGCATGTTGCTTCACCATTTTTCAAACTTCAGGGCTTGAACTTCCATTTCTTGGAACTCCTGGAATGCTCAGCAGCAGGGAGGTCTCTCTTCAGAGTCCAACAGTAGTCAGCCATCATGACTGCGTCCCAGCGACCCTGATACCTGGTCTCCATCTCTTTCATGTCCTGATGGAATCTCTCCCCCTGCTCGTCACTCATTGAACCCAGGTTCTTAGGAAACCGGTCCATATGTGAAAATAGGTAGTGCATCTTGACGCTCATGTTGCAGCCCAGGTTTCTGAAAGTACTCAGCATGTTGTTGACAGGTTCTGCGTACTTTCTGGCCTTACTGTTGCCAAGAAAGTTATTCACTACCAGAACAAATGCCTTCCACGCTTCCAGTTCCACTTTGTTCATTGAGTTTCCGAACTCTGCATCTCTGATGAGCTGACGGATCTGAGGACCGTCAAAGATGCCAGCTTTCAACTTCTCCATGGTCAATCCTGGAAAAGCCTGGCACAAGTAAGTGAAGCAGTCACCATCCTTGTCCAGAGCCTTGGTGAACTGCTTGATTAAGCTGA